ACGAAACGGTGGCAAATATTTTTCGATTTTCCCGTGAAAAAGTCATAAATGAAGATGAAGATGACGAAAATGATGGGGATACCGAAGATGACGGAGATGACGAAGATGATGGAGATGACAAAGATGATGGAGAGGATGGAGGCAGCGCCCCCCGGGAAACGGTGGCGAATGTTTGCGATTCTTAAAAGCAAAAGTAATAGATGAAGATGAAGATGACGAAAATGATGGAGATGACGAAGATGACAGATATGACGAAGATGAGGGAGATGACGAAGACAGGAAGCCTCCGGTGTCTCTTGCAGTCGAGGTCGCACACTATACCTGAATATCGGTACCACCATGGCTGACCCAGGATCTATGAAGGCCAAGGCTCGCCTTGCACATGATAAGACTCGGAACTCGATGGAGACTTCAGGGCTGAGGCATGTCTCAAAGTTTCCGGTATGTTGCCCGTCACCGTCTTCGTTTTCGCCACGGTTCTCGACGTCATTGGCAATGCGAGAGGGCAAGAATGACAGGGGTGAACAGGTCGCAAGTCCCAACATCGAACTTCATCGAAGAGCGGGCGCAGGAAATCCAAACGCAGGCTAGGTGTATCATGGATCATGAAGTCTAGCCGCTCGGAACAATGGGTCATTGCAAACCACGAATCATGCAATAGTTTGCGTGGGGATCATGGCAGCAACAAGCTCTACAGCAAAAGGTTTTGGATCCTCTAGCATGCGGCTGCCCCATCCCTCCACCCCAACATCCAGGAAGCTGCAAGACAAACCTGTCTCCGCACCCCTATGCAAGCTCTATGCTAGGTGCTGCAGCAAGATCCCAACGAGATCATTGAAGAGGCTTCACTTAGACGGTAAATTCAGCAGGCTCCTAGAGGAGGGCTGCTAGAACGGGTCAGTTCTCCGGTATCCTATTCCTCCGGGCTTCGGAGCTGGATGGATCGAGACTCCCGCACCCTGCTTCGGGACCTTGCCTGCGGCGGCAAGTCCGCGAACAGCTCCCGGGGTTCTGCAGCGGACGGGTGATGTCATAAAGGGGAGATTACAGGCTACCAGTAGGATGTGAACTCGACAGCACTAATGGTGGAGAGTGGAGTAACCGGACAAACCGGACAGGGAGTGGTTGCTGATTGCGTTCCACGGTTTAGGGAAGCAAGGACTTGGTGGTCCAGATTTTGAAACAGTCTCGGAAGGCTTGCTGTGCATGAGTCTGAAACAACCTCCGAAGTCTGCTCATGATATGGGCCAGCGGTTCGATTACTTGTTTCCGGACCTTGGCCCCTACAAGTACACTAAAAAAACGGCCTATTGGCGACTTTTCTGCAGCTGCGGTGCCCGAATCCCCAAATGGACACGGGCCTCCCACTCCCGACACCTTGAGCCTAACACCTCTACGGTAGGAAAGAACTGCTGCTGGCGTCAAGCAATGACATCAGGCCCGAGGCAATCATGCCTTGTAAAATGCAGATCATGTTTCTAAGAGAGGACATCAAGGTCTTTGTGGCTGGATATCACAGTCCGTCTGTCGGCTTGCATGCGTGTTTCAATTCGCGCCTAACGGTTCCATCCGGAGCCAGTCTTCAGGGGAGAGCGAGATGATGTGCTCGATGCGCTTTCTTAGTTCGCACGAAAGCCGAATTCGGAGCTTGGAGCAGTGGCGAGGTATGCTAAACCACAAAACAGCACTATTCGGCAGTCGTCCCTCGCATACCTCACTACGTTCAAGGTCCTTGGGTTTCAAGCTGAGGTCTATGCTGTACTGCCTATCAGATGCCTCACGGCGGTAGGCAGGGTCTGTGGGATTGGAAAGTTGGGCTGCGTTTCTGGTACGAAGCCCTGAAAGAAGGTGCTTCAGTGCTTGCAACCATTGGTCTGAGAGCTCATCTGGTGCTGAAAGCTGCAACTCATCGGGGATCAGGGATTCGACGTGTGAAAGCCGAGACCGATCCCACTTGCTCTGCCGGGCAGCGGCAACAGAGAGCCTTGCATGATGGTCCTCATCGGCGCAGGGGTGAAGAACAGCAAAAAGTATTTGCAAGACGCACGCCTAAAAGGTTGGTGCATAGGATGTGTAAACAAACACATGCTGCAGCCTGTTGCACACCACAGCAGAAACTCTCCACCATAGTTCACAGACGCATTCGTGGCTGTAACTGACTATTGCCAAGATCCCACAGCCTCAAAAGCCACGAACAACAGCAGCGCCAACATGGCGCACGAATTACCGCTATACAAATCACAGGAGCTCCAGGGCAATTCTATGGTCACTAGAGATGTGGTCCTAGCTGCCCAAGGGTCCCAACCCCCAGTACCACAGGCCTTGGGAACCAAATGCGAAATGTGAGAAGCTACACTTTTAAGCTTCTGATGTGATGCCATGTGGCGTCGGGAATTGGAACGGCACAAAGTGTACATCTCTCCTTGGCGTTCACTTGCTTCGCGAGGGCTGTTTTTGTCGTGGGGGCGCGGGGGTGGTCCAGGGACAGTGGGCTGAGTTCAAGTTGTGAGGGTTGGTTGGAAACCTTTAACTCGAAATTGCTGTTCAAGCCTGCACTCAGATTCAGGCCAGCTCACAGAGGGACCAAGGAACGCACTCTGATAAGTTCAGCTTTCAGAACAAGTACGAGGATACCGGCTGGTAAAACAGTTACGACAAAGCGCCGAGATCGAAAACCGCGCGAGAACCATTTGAGACCTCAAGGTTCACATGATCAATGGTCATGACGTACAGTTTCAATTCCGGTGACACCGGTGCACTACTTCCGGCCGCCCAGTACCCAAAGCCAGAGTGAACCCCAAAAGCCCCGAACCATAAGAGCCTAAACCGCAACATCCTACAATCCTCGACAACCTTGATAACCTGTAGCCCGGAAAGACGGCAAGGCTCAGTAGATGGATGTGTCGCAGCAGAGGCCGAAAGGCCTCCTCGGGAAAGTTGAAGTCGCCCAGTACGACGGTGGGCATCTCGGCAGCGGCCGTTGCTTCTGCATCCGTCAGACGCTGTCGATAAAAACATTGGGGCTTAAAGAAACCCTAAACCCCTAAACCCTAAACCCCTAAACCCTAAACCCTAAACCCGAGGCTTAAAGTAAAAGCCAGAAAGTTGGAATATGATTATCCTAAACCCTTTATGGTAAAAAAATTAGGTATCCTACCCTGAACCAACTTTCTGGAGTTCCCTGTAAAGTGTAAAGCATCCCAGTCAGACTGCAGCTTCTGGGTTCTTGCAAGGCGGAAAACGAGACTCCTCGGAGAAGGCAGGCGTAAATATGTCCAGCCGAGTTTGGGGTTTAGGGTTTAGGGTTTAGGGTTCTCTTCGGGGGTTCTACCCGGAGCAGCTAGTTCAATAGGAAACTTTCGTCCTGTGATCACAGACTTGCTTACGTTCACTAGTTCGAACCGACAAACTGCAAGGGAACACACGACCTGTTAAATCTGGATAACTTCGAGCTTGAAACTGCTATCTCTTTTCCTCAGACTTCATCAAAAGCAGGAGCAAAGTTTATACACGTATATACTTAAGGCCGAGATATAGTCCTGCAAGGTCAAGCAACGAAAATACCAGATGCAACTGAACGTTGAGGGCCCTTTGATACGTCAACGAACATTGAACGATGCCACTACTCTGCTTATTGTATACATGTCAACACGTACCTGCGTGCTTCTTTTATATATACATATATATATATATATATATATATATATATATATATTATATAATATTATATTATATTATATGATATTATATTATATTATATTATATGATATTATATTATATGATGTTATATTATATGATATTATATTTTATATATTATAGTATATGATAATATATTATATGATATTATATATTATAATATATTATATATTATGTTATATTTTATTATATTATATTATATTATATTATATTATATTATATTATATTTTAATATATATTATATTATATTATATTATATTTTATTTTAAGTTATATTATATTATATTATATTTTTATATTATAATATTATTATATTATATTCTATTATGTTATATTATATTATATTGTATTATATTATATTATATTATATTATGTTATATTCTTTTATGTTTATATTAAGTTTTATGTTTGTTATGTTATAATTCTATTATATTATTTATATTATATACATTCTAATATTATAATTTATTATAAATACTATTATTTATAATATAATTATTTATATATTATTCTTATATTATATTATATTATATTAAAATTAATTTTTTATATTGAAATTATGTTAATGGTTTTATACATATAATATTATTTATATTATCTTGTATTGATTATTATTTATATTTTAATTAATATTACATTAGATTATCTTAATAGTATATTATATTATATTATATTAAATTAGAATTATATTATATTATATTATATTATATATATATGTATATGTATGCCACAGCAGCAAAGGATCAGGAAGCGAGTCTCCGATAGGGCTTATAGAATGCGAGCAGCTCAGGTCAATATGACTCTCTGCCAGTCAAGCTGCTGCATCGAGGCCGTCGATACGCGCAACGCACTGGCAGAACTCCTCTTCGCAACAAATCTTATATCGGCAAGCCATCAACATGGCGGTAGTGCACACAAACTGCCAAGGCTTGAAGCTTCAAAGCTGGGAAGGTGCAGACTACAGAGCTCTGCGATGCTGTCACTTTTCTGTCGCGACGCACGCGCTCCCCGTTTCAAGGTTGTGCACTACGCACGCTCGGTACTTTGCACATGCTCCCCATTGCAAGGTTGTCCTTTCGCAGGGGTGCCCTGCATGGTCCTCTTCAGGGACGGTGCCCACACCGATTCACTGTAGCCAATTCGCTAAGGGCGGTCAAAGAGTCAAAGGACAACCATGCCCCCATTGGGCCCATTCCTACGGCCCTTTATCCCCCTTGTACCGCTGCGACGTAAGTCCTGCATCGGCTACTCGGTGGTTTAGGGTGCGACTTAGCTCAGGGAGGTGCAACCGAGTTGTCGCAGCATCAGGCGAACAACGCTTTGAGACCTCAGGTAGCATGCATAGGCATCCAAGTCTGAGGCAACAGTCTCAACGAACACTTGGGACGACCGCAGCCAAGCGGCTCCTGGATTTGACCATTCGCTGTGGCGGAGCCTGTAAATTCCTCGGCGCCGGCGCCTGTGCTTTGTCCGCCTCAGGATCTCGCTTTGCCGCTGTTCATGTGTTCGTCGGGCTTCCAGCAGGTACCAAAGGGCTCTCAAAGCGACCTTCAAGTGCCGAGCGTTCCTCTAACCCTTCGCATCCAGTGCGAACCCGACCGCCTAAATACCAATTCGCCTCTGCTAGACACCCTTATCCTAAACCCTGCGTCGACCTTGAGCCCTTGGCCCTAATCCGCAAATCCTAAACCCCCAAGCCTGCATAGCCTCTAAAGTTCTAAAGCCAGGGTGCTAAGCTGCCAAGCCTGATAGATGTCGATGCCCGGCGCAGCTTCCTCGAAGTGCAAACACACACAGACTCAAACACTGAGAATACCTTTACATATACATCTACGTGTACATTATCTTGTGTATATGTCTCTCTCTATATATATATATATGTGTGTGTCTGTATGTGTTTCTGTACACATGTATATGTATATGCATAAGTATGTGAACATGCGTATGTGTATGTGTATGTAAAAGATGTATTCATATGGCCATATATAGATAATCATATATATATATATATATACGTGCGACACACTCAGGCTGAGAGATGTGTAACTCCAAAGCTCAGTTAGCCCTATGCAAGTCCAAAACCATGTTTCTGACGAAACTTAGACTGGAAGCTTTGAGGCATCTGGCGGCAGTTTCCGGAGTTTGCAGGTTGAGCCATACACATGAGGCCATCGTTAAGGTTTGAGACTTGTCTGCGGGAATAGAAAGATTCACGGTAACACCGGAAACAATGCCAAGGACAGAGGTGTTAATGGCAAATGTCGTCTAGGTAGTCAGAAGCCGTAAGCTAAAACCTAATCTCGACAACTCTGCCGATCTTACCCCGAAGTTGTTATCCGGAAAGAACCCCAAACGCAGCGCTGCTCCTGCAGGGTTCAGGCAAGTACGAATACACCCAGAACTAAACGCCCACGGAGTAATCCATGCCCTTGTCGCGCCAGTTAAACGTCCGGAGGCACGCACCCTGTCGGAAAAGACCCCATGGAGACCAGAAAAAGCTTCACGAGTGTGATTTCATACAAGACCCACGATGCTTGAAGGGCAAAGGCTCGAGGGCCCTAGGAAGTCCGCCATGTCGTCGTCCGATTCCTTTGGTGCCTGCTTGTGGCTCAGGGACGAGAACGCTCGGAGGTGACCGCACACAACCACAGATGATGGGTAGGACCGGTGTAAGGAAGGCAATATGCAAATCTCGACGCTAGACTGCCGGTATTCAACGTGTGAAGACATGGCGGATAGCAATTGGCAACACACCGTCTCATGAACTCCATGAGAGCCAACTAGGATGCACGACCATGCCCCACTTGCGGCATGTCATCTTACAGGTAAATCTGCTTTCAGCCGTACCTCTTTATAGCCGTTCAGTGCCGGCTCATGTTGCAAGACGAAACTCAGCGTCAAGACGCCAAATCCTAAAGCCAGAAATGGAACCACATGCCTGCTCCAGCGAGCGGGCCCGCTTCGGTGGTTTTGGGGCCTCATGTGGCGTGGGAAGTTTCAGGCAGCTTCAGAACATGGAGTTGTTTAGGCGAAGTTTACTAGGCCGTGAAAGGGTTCACAGCCTGTCGGGGTTGCCAAGCTGCACTTCTCTGTTGTGCTTTGTTGCGTCTTACGGATTGAGCTGCTGATGTTTGCATAGACCTTTGGTTCCATGCATGTCAGGACCGCAGAACTAATGGAAGCAGAAAGGGTTGAGAGTTGAGGGTTTAGGCAAGGGACGCTAGACCGCAGCACTCACTGCATTGAAATGGCGACGTTCCGTGCCGTGGAGTCAATGATGCCCCTAGTGAAGTACTTAGCTACTGTAGCTGTAGCGCAGGCAGTCCGAGTAAACCCAGATCACCCTCGCTAAACCCCGGCCATCAAACACAGACGAACCGCCCGAAACCCTGAAAGCTACAAAGCCTAAACTGAAACCCACTGAAGCTCATAGACATTCTCTGACTCTAGACTAGATCCCACAGACCCCACAAAGCTAGCCTTCACGGGCGCCGTGGCCATGACCTCCCTTTTCAGCTCCAGCACAGATGGAGCCAAGCTCTGATCCAAGGCCTCACCGGCCGGAATTCAAAAAGCCAAGAAAGGGAGCTTAGGGCTATAGCCTTGTAGGCGCTTATAAAGGTACGGGTTCTGTAGTTCTATAGTGCATAAGGGGCTAGGGTTGAGGATGCCAGGGTTTAGGCTGGATCTGGGAATGTATACAGGCGACTTGTAGAAACATAGGATCTGATTTTGCTCGTGGTTTGCTTGCCGGTGCCACGAGGGGCTCGTACCGAGGACTTTCATACTACAGAGAGCTTCAGAAAGTTGGAATATGGTTTCAGGGTAGGATACCCTATAATTTACCGTAAAAGGTTTAGGATAATCATATTCCAACTTTCTGGCTCTTACCTTAAGCCTTGATCAGAAACAGGAAACTTCTGCACCGGGAGATCGGAGGGACGAGTCCAACGCGTCTCGCCTTGGGCCTTCGATTCTGAGATTGCATCCACTGTATGCTTGCAGTTAAGGCGTCGGAACCCACTAAATCCATCCTGACTGCATTCTGCTTACAAACCTGGCAGAAAAGCCATGCTTGTCTCAAACTGTACTTAAGAAGACCCCAAGCTTAGCACACCACTGCATCGTAACTTCCAGTGTGAGGGTGCTTAAAGATCCGTCAAGGCGACGCACAAGCTCCGGGCTGCCTCGAGATCAAAGAAGAACTCACCCCAACCCGGACCCCAAAGCCAGCAGCACAGCAGCAGCTGGCCTCTGCGGCCTTCGGGAGGGCCTTCGCCTTGGTCGCCTTGATGGCAGCCTTGGCCTTCATCAGCTGCTGAACCTGCAAGACCGGGACCAGGAAATCCTCTGTGAAATGTCAGAATTCAGGACTCTGGAAGCCCAACCCCCTTCCTCGGACGGATCTTCTGCTGCAGTCACTCAAGCGAAAGCCCCTTGTGAACCCCGTCCCTTAGAGACACCCCACAGTTGAGGCCTCCAGGTGAACACCCATGAGATGCTTCTCTGCTCCTGCCCAAGGAGTTCTTGCAGAAGCCGAAAAAAAGAAGCCTTCCGATTTTCTAGAACGGGTGTTTCTGTGGGGTTCGCGGTCTTGAGATGGTTAGGGCTCAAGGGGGATTTGACTCAGGGTAAGTATCCATGCAGCTCCGAAATATTGAGGCTCACGACTACGGAATTGGATGTGGCACATCTGGAAACGTTGTCGGTTTGCTGGATTGTCTATTGACGGTTGATATTGCTTGGCGCCGCGACTGCGGGGCACGAACTTTTCGCTCCCAGGATTCATGTTTTGCCGAGCATCAGAGCCTAAGCCTAGCAGAAGGCCTGAACCTTCAGCTTCCCTCAACCCAAAAGGGCCTTCAAGTCCTTCCAAAAGGTGAGGGCTAAGATGGCTGCAGCCGTAAAGCCGTAACATGCTCTGCGCCCTTAGTCTGATCACTCTGCCGTTTGAGCCCCGAAAACCTTGCAAAAACAGTGCAGGCTCCTTCTGCCGCAGAGTTCCGGGCAATTCTGCGCTCATGGGTTTTTGTGCGCCTTGGCTGATTTGCCAGCTGCTAGTTAACTGCTAGCATCCTTTGGCGTTATGCTATGACTGCCAGCACTCCAACATGCGAGGGAAAAAGTTGCTGCAAATGCGATAGTCCGATGCGATGTCCCATTTTCACATGTCCTCACACTCGCACAGAAACGCGCGTTGTCAACATTGTCGACGTCTTAAGCTCCACGTCCTTAACTGCATCCTCGAGCTCCAAATCTCACAACCCCAGCCCGAAGCTTCACGAACGAATTCCTGAATCCACTGGGGTCCCAAAGCCAGGGGCCCTGAAACCTACAAGAAGGCCCTGCAAGTTTTCAATCGGCGAAGCTGCAGAGCCATGGCAGCCGTGAGATCTGGGTGCAGCGACTGTAAGCGGTCACTCGGCCTGGTGTGTCTGCACTTTCTCTTCTCCTGGTTGGGAAGGAAGATCTTAATTGCTCAGGCAGGTCTGGACCGAAACACTACGTCTTCCGCACACCGTCATCTCTAAAAAAGTCACGAAACCGTCGGAATTCCCACTGTTTCCGTGCACACACAGACACACACGCTGGCACCCCCCCAAAGCCCCGAGTTCTGAACACGAAAACCTCAGGCCCAAAAGCCCGGAGGGGGAAAACTCAATATGTCGGGCTCCGGGGCTCTTTCCTTGGGAGACCTTGTTCGCCGGAGATCATGTCGCATATACCAGAGATTCGAAATACTGGTGGTCGGAGGATCTTGTTGGGCAGACATGAGACACTAAGGGGAAGATGAGAAGCACCAACCAAGCTTGGAGAATGCAGGTCTAGGGCTCACGGCTTGCTTCGCCGATGTTGGCAGCCTATTAAGCTGTGGTTCGTGGTGTTCTGAGGCTTTGCAGAGCTGCTGGAGTCGAACAATCGGGGTTGCTCGGTGTCTCCTGGAACTTAAACATCAAGATCTTTCCGTCGAGCCGGTAGATCTGGTAGAGCTGGCTACTTACAAGAGGGACAGGCGGAGCCCGAAGCCATAGAAACCCCAAATCCGGAATCTCCGGTCAGCTCCAAACGCTTGCTCCAAAGTCTATACCCAACTTTGTCCTCCAAGTAGTCTTGATCATGCTCTCCTCGGTACACGAAACCGAGTACGGCTTCCGGGCATGCTGCTGTGTGGAAACCCAATCATGCAACTCTTCGCAACATTAACGTAGGCATTCCTTTTGACCCTACACACTGCACTTGCAGCAAACACACATTACCTACAATGCCAAAGCCAAACTACAGTCGCAAAACCTCTGACCTCAACTGCACTTTCCAGGGCAAAAACGAACCAACCCCACATGGGTTATACCATAGATACTGTAGCCTGTGGGAGACATGGTACTTTCAGCAGGTGGCCCGATACGACGAGGATGAGGAGCCCTGAACCCTGTATGGGAGCTCCATGATAGGGAACGCCCGATAGAAAGAGGAACTCTAGCCTAGGGACCGGGACCCAGCCTCGATATGGTGCCTGGCTCAAGCACAGCAGGCTCAAACGCTGGTCCCATGCCGTTTTGCGCTTGCCACATAGGACTACCGACATAGTAGTAGCAGTAGTAGTCGTCGTCGTGGTGGTTGTGGTAGTAGTGTTAGGAAGTAGGTAGCACGAAGGAAGAAGAAAGTTTAGGTAGCAGTAGCAGCAGCTGCAACTACTCTGAGCATGAGTACTAGCCTTACCCCTATCTTGTGGGTGCCCGATGCAAGGATCCTGAATCAAAAAAGTCTGGTGCCACATAAGGGTTCCCAAACCGCGAAATCCCGAATGGTCCTAATTCTAAATCCGAGACACCCAAACTGAAAGGAAAGTTATTGCTGGAGCCCAGGAGCCCACAGGATCGATAGGCAGCTTTCTGAATGCCATCTCCATCCTTGGCTGGCTGCTGAAAACTTGCTATGGGTTTGGCAGGCATGATGTTTTGGTTTGGGTTGAAGGATGAGGGGTTTTGGCGGTTGAATACCACACAAAACCAACATTTTCAAGTAAGGAGAACTCCAAGGGTCCTTGAGTCGTAGTGAGACCTCACCTGGAAGGGTCCATGCTTTGCTGTGGGAATCCAGAACTTGAGTTCTGCAAGTCAGAAGCTTTGCTCCAGCTGGACAGCTAGATGGCAGCTTGTTAATTAGTTCGTTTGTTGATTCGTATGCTTCTCAGCTAGCTAGTTCGGAGTGTCGAAGCTGATGCTCTTGCACTCCTCCGCGTGGCTAAACCCTAAACTCTAAACCCCTAAAACCCTAAACCCCTAAAGCCCTAAACCACAAAAGCCTGAACCCCTAAGCCCAAGCCGCGCCTCCTGGAGTTTCTGAGAAGCCTCGTCCTGGGTGGCTTTGAGATCCTCGAGGATACCAGCGAGTTCCACTTGGCGCTCCTCCAGAAGCAGCGCGGAAGCCAGACCCTACAATGGGTGGAAGGCGGTAATTTTAGGGGCCTTAATAATTAGAATAGGGTTTTGGGGTCCATTATACTATAATCATAATAAGGAACCCCCATAATAGTAGAGGTAATTTCAGGCCCCCAAATTAGTCTGAGTCACCGTCTTACAGGGTCCCACCCCCAGCACCCCCCCGCCAAAAACAGGAATATCAAAAGGCTTGGGTCAGAGCATGCAGAACTAGCGCTCCTCCTGACTCTTCCGCTGGTCCTGGGTTCAGGATGCAATGCTTTTCGATCCCAAGAGGAGCACGCTTCTTCCCTTTTCCTTCTTGGAGTAAAACTGGCAGTAAAGCTCTAAACATCTGCCAAAGGGCTCTTACTTCATCGGCTGTCGCCCTTGCATTGGCGGCGAACGACTTGTGGCTGCGCAGCTCTTCTCTGCATGTTCTGCATTCTTCGCGAGCCTCCTGTTCGCGGCTGCTTGGTCTAATATAGGGGCCTTGATTATTAGAATAGGGTTTTAGGGCCCATTCGAATACATTTATACTGTATAATAAGGAACCCCAAGATAGTATTGGTATTATTCAGGCCCCTATGTTAGTCCTCAAGCCTCATGTTGCTGAACCCCGGATTGGATGACCAAGATGGAGGCTGTGCCTTGGCTTTGGTGGTCGTGCAACATACACTATGTAGCTTTGTAAACTACTGGGTAACAAATCTAGCAACAGCAACATCGAAGCCGACAGGGACAACCATACCAAAACCATGATAGGGAAACGGACAATGCCGTGATCTTCGGCGGGCCAAGCAGAACGAATACTCAATCTTACAAGCCAACATCCAGCAATCACCAGCTAAGAAGGAGAGTGAGGACGAGGAAAATGAGAGTCTTGCTCCTGCTCCTCCTGCTTCCTACTCTTACTCTTGCTCTGGCTCTTACTTTTAGTCTTACTCTTAATTACTCCTACCCCTACGCCTATTCCTACCCTACTCCTGATCCTACTCTCCTACTCCTACTCCTACTCCTACTACGACTGCTACTGCTACTACTACGACTACTACGACTACCGCTACTACTACCAACACTACCACTACCACCGCCACTACCAATACCACTACCACTACCACGACCACTACTACTACTGCTGCTACTACTTCTTCTGCTTCTACTTGTACTACTTCTACTACTTCTATTACTTCTTCTACTTCTACTACTTCTACTACTTCTATTAAGTCTACTACTTCTACTACTTCTTCTGCTCCTACTACTACTATTTTCAATTGAACGCTGCGCGAGCGTGCTCTGCGCTTTGCGGGCGCCATTGGTCTCATGCACTCGTGAAACTGCTTCTAGCATGCATCGCTCAGGTCTCTCTAATCAGCTCGAACTTGACAAACTACTTCAACTGCTACTGCTACAAAAAGCTTCCTTCTCCGACACCTTGGCGTGAACAGACGCGTCCATCTGTGCACCTGTCTCAACAAATAGGCCGTACCTCAGATGAAGCCGCCACCCGGAGTATCCGTCTCGTGGCGTCCCACACGGATTACTCATGTTGAAGACAGAAGGCCGTAAGGGTCATGTGCGGATGACCGCTGGTACCTGAGGCAATTTCGGTGTCGTGAGTCTTTGGGCAGCTTCGATGCTGGCAATTTGCTGAAGCGCAAAGTGCTGTTTTAAGCGAGGCTAGCACGCGATTCGCATTCTTCCGAAGAGACGTGCTAGGCGTCGGAAGAGTGCCGAATTCCCTGAGTCTGTGACATAAGGGATCATAGAGTCTGTGACATATTATCGCCCTCACTGGTCATGACCTTTTGGCCACTGCTTAGAGTATCCGTGCCAGGACCACTGCTGCCACCAGTCCCAGTCGTCGTCCTGAGATGAGCGTGCCTGTCTGGCCCACTGGGACGAGGAGGATGAGGAGGGGCCATCGCGCTGCCGCTTGCCCTCTGTGTCTGCCTCCTGCATCTGTGGGCGCTTGTGAGTTGCAGCAGCAGCCAGCTTGGCCATGCGCTTGTCCTCTTCGTTCCCTTTGTCATGCTGTATCCGCATCTTCATGATGGAGTAGGCATTTTTGTCGGGTTTGACCCGGAAGACACGAGCTGGGAGTCCAGCTGATTTTGCAGTCTCATTGTAGACTGCCACTATGGTGGTGGCGATCATATTGAATTCGACCCACGAGGGGAAGTGTTGCTGAAAAGCCTTTTCGTCCCACATCTTGTTAAAGCAGGCATGGATAAGGCCATGCACTTTTGTTGGCGCGTCCAGCTCGCGGTAGGCATCGCCCGCGCCTGTGGCGATGGTGACCTTCCCATCGCTTGTGAGGACTCGCCTCACCGACATGGCGGTGTCCCATGTGAGGCCGGTTTGCGTCCTGACAGACTTGATGGCAGAGAACAGCGGCGGAACTTCTCGGAGTGCTTCCATCCTGGTAGACCAAAGGGTCTGTTGTTCCTGGTTGGTGAGGCCGCCAAGAATGACCGGGGCCACCAGGATGTTGATGGAAGCTAAGGCCCGAATCCAGTCTTGATGGGACTGGGAGCTCAGCAGCTGAGCCAACTCCTGCCTCGTGTAACGTACTGTCAGCCGTGGAGCCGGCTGCGGGACATAGCCGACGAGTTCCGCATTGGATTCCGGAGGCTCATAGGCTGACGGGGGGCGGGAAGAGGGAGGAGGGGGCGTGTGGGAGCGCGGAGCGGCCTGGGTGGCGGGGGTTGGAGGAGAGACGGACTTGGGGGGGTGCGGAAGGATCGGGGGGACCGGAATCGCAGGAGGGGGGGCTGGTGCCGCCGATGAAGATGAGGGCGGGGGGCATTGGGTGGCCACCAAGGGCGGTGGGGCCTTAACCGGAAGCGCTGGGGCCGCCTTCGGTGTTTCTGTTTGGCCTGCTTTGAAGGCCGCCTTTTCAGCTGCGGAGGAGGTGAAAGGGCAAGGGGGGGAGGGTGGCGGCTCAAAGCCGGCTGCTTTG